TGAACCGAATGGCTACCGTGAAACGTGATGGAACAGTTGAGTTTGAAGTTCCAGCAGATGTTGTCCCCCATGCACTTGGTGTTAAAACCGAGGAGCCAAACAACGGGCATGCTCCCGAGGAGTCAATCGATGGGGTTGACCTTCAGGACATTCCCCCGCTTCAAATCGTTATACTTATTGTCGGGACACGAGGGGATGTTCAACCTTTTGTTGCGATAGGCAAGCGCCTTCAGGTTGTCATGTGATCTCCATATGATTCTAATTATTCATGTTCATACGATTATGGTGTAGCAACTCAATTTTAAAGATGCAAAAATCTGAAACTAAATTTGTAGGATAGTAACTATTAAGGATCAACGGACTCATGTTTAAGAATTTCTTGTGCAGGAATACGGCCATCGAGTTAGACTTGCAACACATGCAAACTTTAAAGAGTTTGTTTTGACAGCCGGATTGGAGTTTTATCCATTAGGCGGAGATCCAAAAGTTCTAGCCGGTTGTATGTATCCACCAAACATTCCCGTTCTTTCTTCAACCATGTTGTGTTCCTTTTTCTTTTCTTTGATACTAAGTAATGTTGCTTAGCTTGTCTTGATTTTTCTTGCTGAATGTTATCTAATATCGTCGATTAATCGGTTTCCATGCTATCTTGTGTACAGACATGGTTAAGAACAAGGGATTTTTGCCATCGGGGCCTTCAGAGATTCCGATTCAGCGAAACCAAATAAAGGAAATCATATACTCTCTGCTTCCAGCTTGTAAAGAACATGATCCTGATTCCGGGATCCCTTTCAAAGCTGACGCTATTATTGCCAATCCTCCAGCTTATGGTTAGTCTATTCAACTTCTTGAATGACTTATCTGTATGATTGGAAAGAGGACAGAAAATCCGGAAGATAATTGTACTTTTGAGCCTTGACTTACTTCTTATGGTAACTAATCTTTGGAAATGCCATCTTAGGACATACCCACGTGGCAGAAGCGCTGAAAGTACCGATACATATCTTTTTCACCATGCCATGGACGTAAGTCTCGCCTGGGGGTAACGATTCTGGCCGAAATTATTGTCTATATGACGTTATTTTGTAATCTTTCACAACTTTTCTTATGCATTGTTTTTTGTTTATAACGTTGTTCCAGGCCAACTAGCGAGTTTCCCCACCCTTTGTCACGTGTTAAACAATCAGCGGGATACAGAGTGCATCTCGATTATACACAAACATTATCGAATGATATATAGGCTGATGTTAAACTTTATGTTTTTTAACATCCTACTCTTAAAATTTATAATGTTGTTCCTCCAGCTCTCATATCAAATTGTGGACTCACTGATATGGCTCGGGATAAGAGACATGATAAACGACCTTAGGAAAAAGAAGCTGAAGATGCGGCCTGTTACGTATCTAAGTGGCTCGCAAGGCTCTGATTCTAATACACCTCATGGATATATGTGGAGCCCTCATCTTGTTCCGAAGCCAAAAGGTTAGCTTTAGCTACCTTAACTTATATATTTTTTTTTACTTGTTATAACACCGTTTCTTCGATTCAGGCATTTTTTTCCCGTTTCTATCACATTTGAGTGACTCTTGTTAGAAAGAAAGGACCATCTCGATGACGGTTTTATTTTTTTTTCCGATTTTTTGCAGATTGGGGACCAAAGATTGATGTAGTGGGGTTTTGCTTCCTTGATCTTGCATCAAATTATCAACCTCCTGTAGAACTTGTGGAATGGCTAGAAGCCGGTGACAAACCAATTTATATCGGCTTTGGTAGTCTTGTGAGTTAGTTTTCCCTTGTTTATTTGGTATCCACACCTATAGTTATCTGGTTTTTACGGGAAATTTTGATTGGCAGAAGTATTTCATACAACATTTTGCAAGATTAGCTTAGCTTGAGAGATTTCTCTTCTTTTGCTTTGTGGTGGCTTAGCCTGTTCAAGAGCCAGAGAAGATGACCGAAATCATCGTGGAGGTTCTTCAAAGAACTGGACAGAGAGGGATTATTAACAAAGGCTGGGGCGGTCTCGGAAACTGTAGGACTACTAATACCTCTTTCTGCCCATTTTTGTGATGCCTTCAGTATTTGCTTCTTTCATGTTTCTTTTCCGAGTTTTTTTGGTGTTGGATATACAAGTAGTGATATGATGTTTTTCTTGAAGTGAAAGAGCCCAAGGATTTTGTATATTTGCTAGATAATGTCCCACACGACTGGCTCTTCCCGAGATGCAAGGCCGTGGTATGTTTGTCTTTAACCGTCTTTCTTGTCCTGTGGAAATTTTCCCGAGGAACCCGTCCTTCCTTGCTTCACCAGCTTCATGATAGTATGTTGTGTTTCTGCTCTCGGCTTTTCAGGTTCATCATGGTGGTGCTGGAACAACGGCTGCAGGTCTCAAAGCAGCGGTAAGAACCCTCGGGTTTTTAATTCTTGAGAATCTATATATATATATATATATGTATATATAAAAACCAAAGGTGATGATATACTGTCTTATACGAGAGTGTCGTTTTGCGTTTAACAGTGCCCGACTACCATCGTGCCTTTCTTCGGGGACCAGCCTTTCTGGGGAGACAGAGTGCACGCTCGAGGAGTAGGTCCTGCCTCGATTCCCGTTGATGAGTTCTCTCTTCATAGGCTCGAAGGTGCAATAAACTTCATGCTCGACCCCAAGGTGAGTAAATACTCACGGAAACTTAACTTTTATGGTGTTTAAGAACCGAAATACAATCGGAAGTAGTACACAACCTCATTCATAATGCAAATCTCTCCTTTTATAGGGAGATCTGTTGTCTAGAAAGCTACAAAAGTAACGATGTGGGACGATAAAACATTAGAAATTCCTAACGAGCTCTATATCAGAATCATGAATCTTCCGAAGATTTGGAAGATAAGTGCTGCTGGAGAGTGTAAGCTCCATAACCGGAACGAGTAATGTGGTGGGTTGCAGGTGAAGAGAGCGGCAGAGGAGCTGGCAAGGGCGATGGAGGAGGAGGACGGAGTGAATGGAGCAGTGAAGGCTTTCTTCAAGCATCTCCCGAACAAGAAGTCGAGCCAGGAGCCCGCTCCCGACCATCATTCCTCCTTTCTTTCCTTCAGAAGATGCTTCGGCTGTTCGTAGAATTCTTGATCCTCTCTCTATTTTTGCTTTCGGATTTCTCTCTTTCTTTTTCTTTTTGTCTCCGTGAGAATTGCAGACACTCACTGCTGAGAAACTTGCTTAGAGTTTTTATGCAACCTGGTTGCTGCACACATACATTGATACATACTGTAATGTGATAACTAGTTGTTTGTTTTGGATACACACTGTAATGCAAAATTGTTCTCATCTCTCAAGTTTTCTTATATTTGTTTGCTGCCTCTCTCTCTCTCTCTCTCTCTCTCTCTCTCTCTCTCTCATGGGCTTTCGTTCTTGTCTTAGGCCCACATGGTCTAATCTTACAAAACAGAACTATTTATAAATATGGGCCTCATGAGGCCCACTAACCAAAGACGGTCACTGTACCTTCTCCGGCGATTTCTCCTCTTCTCCATCTCCGGCAACCTTCTCCTTCTCCTCCGTCGCCGCCGGGAACGGGATTTTCTTCCCGAAGAGCTTGATCGCTGGATTTCTACTTTCCAGCATAACTTTTTTTCTTCTTTCCTCTTTTTTCTCGGCAACCGAACAAGCGCGAGAAAATTCGGGCAGTCGTCTTCTCCCTTTTTTTTTTTTTTTTGGGGGGGGGGGTTGGGGGAATGGAAACCAAGAGACAAGTTGCAGTGAGAGACTCAGGACCCCATTTCAGTATTTATAGCCATTTGCCTCTCAGAATATGGAGCAACCTGATCATATGTATACATACATACGTACATATACATCTCTTATATTGTGTATGTAAGCATACAATCATATACGTATGTGTGTATGTACACAGGTTGCGCCTTAGACTTTTGCTTATCAAGTTGGCATCAGATGCCCAATCCCTACTCACGTTCCCCATTCAGCTTTTCGAAAATGTAGATCTCTGATGAACAAATCCATCAAAATCACATGATAGAAGATGGAATTTTAATCTTCCAAAACTCTTGTAAATATATATATTATCAGTCCATATTGGTTCTAAATTTAGTTTTGTGGGAACAAATTTACATTAGTTTTTTATTCGATTTTTTCAATTATTCTAGTTTTTTTTAATGAAAGTATTTTAGTATTTATTATAAATTCACACAAAAAAAGGGGTCAAAACTCACTTCACTAAAAAAGTTCTATTGGGGGAAGGGAGGAAAATCTAATTTGTCCAATGGCAAGTGGATATGAACTAATTAGTTTTTGCAGAAAAAAGGCAAAACCCTAAAAATGGCCCATCTCAAGAAAGAAATGGAAAAAAAAAGGAGTTTTTTTTATTCCATTTCCCAATTCAAACATCTCTTCTTTCTCACCAATCACTCTCCTTCACATCACCATGCACCAGAGAGAGACTCTCTCTCTCTCTCTCTCTCTCTCTCTCTTATCTTCTTCTGTCCGGAAGCCCATACGGGCAAAAGAACCTGCTCCCAAAGTTGGCTCTGCCACAGGAACAGAACACTTAATGGTAATAATGAAACCACTCGCAGATTCTTCACATTTTCCAATTCTCCTTCGACTTAGCTTTCTCTTCGGCTTCCTACCCATCTCTTCTTCCCCTTTTTATAGCCCCACACACACACACTCAGGGTTCATAGTTTAGGGGGTTCACTCTTGATTCTTGAAGAGGCTCATTGATTTCATCCGTATTTGAATCTTGGGTTGTGTTTTTATTGGAATTCATCAAGTTATTGAGTTCTTTCTGGGATTTTGTTAACTTTGGTTTAAGCCCATTTCTGCAAAAACCGAATTCTAAGAGTTGTTTCAGTTACTATCCCTTAATCTCATGTAAGTTGTATTTTCTCATACATGGCAGAGAAAACCTGAGAATGGAAGACGATGATCATCACCGCCAAGAACAAGACGAACAAGAAGAAGAAGAAGAAGAAGGGATCAAGACAAGACAAGGATCCAGCAGGCCAGAAGAAGACACACCTTCGTCGAGAATCTTCTCATGCCTCTTCTGTTCCAGAAAGTTCTACAGCTCCCAAGCCCTCGGAGGCCACCAGAACGCCCACAAGAAAGAGAGAACCGCCGCCAGAAGAGCCAAAAGGGCTTTCGAATACGTTCATAGCCCTAACTTGCAACACACGTTACCTGTGTTCTTGTCCCCTCCTTCTCCACACCACCTGACCATCTTAGGCTACCCTTCTTCTCATCATCATCATCCCGCCCTCGGGTGTTTCCCATCTGTTCATCCTGACCATCCGATCTTCTCTCACGGGTTCGGATCCAACGGTTCTGCTCCCAGGTTCGATCATGTGGTCTTGGCCGCGGCTCATCAAGGCGGCGGCGGCTGCAGCCTCGGAGGAGAGCATTTTCAGAAGAAGAGCGTGAAATCATCATGCAAGGGAGGGTTTTTTGGTCAACAACGCCTCCAAATTTTGGATAATGTGATGGATGGTGAAAAGGGTAAAGATCAAAACCTTGATCTGACCCTCCATTTATAAAAAAAAATCCAATTTAGGGCTTTAGATTTTTAGGGTTTTGAGAGAGATTTAAAATATCAGAATCCGGGTAAAGGGATATCTCTAGATGAAGATTTTGACAGACATCGTTATTATGTTTTTGTTCTTGGAATAAAAATAATAATGAGCGTTGGTTTTTCTCCTTGGTAAAGGGCCCAAATAAAGTTGTACAAGGGAACGGCCCAATATTTAATGGGCCTACGCCATGACGAAAATCCCATTCCGGCCCATTAAATCAGAACCAAACCAAAATTCAATGAAAAATTAGATTAAATATTAATGTTTTTAAAACTATAAAATAATACGGCCATAAAAATAACTAAAGAGAAACTAAACCACTAACCACTACAAATTTTAAATGTTAAATTGGGTGAAATTGAAATGTGGACCCATATTTTTTCCCTACTTAATTGCGTATAAAACAATGATGGTTGCATGATTAATGTCGTACATAAACATAGCTTATAATGCCCACATGGAAAAGTCAATGTGCTATGAACGAGACAATCATTATACATTCATATATATATATATGCATATATATATATATATATATATATATATATGCATATATAATATGAGACTTACAAGTTTAAATTAGCTGTTTATGTTTTTCTTATTTTATTGGAATATAAATTTAATTGTTTAAAATGGCTCGCGACAAAATGAGAGATGGGGAGGAAGAAGCACATGACATGATCCTTTGTTGGCCAAACTCATAATTGTTATCATTGAACAGTTATACATATACACATGCCTATATAGTCACTGAATGTGAATGCGGCATGACATCTACATCCAATAATATTTCTTATCGTACATATTCTATTTGTAAGTTTTAATATCATAAATAATTTTTTAATTAGAATTTATCTATAAATCTATATACATATATATATATATATATATATATATATATATATGCATATATAATATGAGACTTACAAGTTTAAATTAGCTGTTTATGTTTTTCTTATTTTATTGGAATATAAATTTAATTGTTTAAAATGGCTCGCGACAAAATGAGAGATGGGGAGGAAGAAGCACATGACATGATCCTTTGTTGGCCAAACTCATAATTGTTATCATTGAACAGTTATACATATACACATGCCTATATAGTCACTGAATGTGAATGCGGCATGACATCTACATCCAATAATATTTCTTATCGTACATATTCTATTTGTAAGTTTTAATATCATAAATAATTTTTTAATTAGAATTTATCTATAAATCGATTTTAAAGTAATATTTTACGAATTTACAATTGAAGATATTAATATGATTATAAAATATATTTTATATTTTATCAAGCACTACGAAATTGTCTTTAGTTTTTTTTAGATTATAAATTATTCCTATTTTTAAAATTTATATAGAACATATCTTAAATTTATACTAACTTTTTTCTTTTAAATTCGGATTAATTCAATTACTCAAGTCATGGGTAGCAAATACAAGGTCAAGGCTTAAAAGTTTTGAATATTGATTTGGATATCCGTATTCACCTCACCAAAAATATATTTTAAATTTAATAATTGTTTAGTATCATAAATTTTAAAAAGGACTTAAGCTATAATTAAAACCATCATACATCAACATATACACACACATGTATGTGTGTATAGTATTGTTTGCAGGAGTTTCCCGAATTTGTTGGATTTCATGAGCTGCGAAATGACAAACTTTATACATACACATACGTATATATATATATATATATGTATATATAATGCATGAAACCCATATGTTATAATACTTTTGGCATACATTTCATGACAACTTTTCTTTGCAGCAGCTAGCATTTGCCATGTCAATATTAGGGGATAGTCACACGGAGTTTGTAACATGCGCGGACGCAATTAATTATCCGAAAAATATAATAATTGACATTAAAATATCATTTTTTGTTACGTACAGATATACTTGAACTCTTATTAATTGAAATGGGTCCATGTTGGTTTTAGACCCTTTTTTTCTGAACCAATCATTCTAACATGCATGTGGAACTTACTTAGGCTCGTATGATTATAATTATGTTATTAATCTATACAAAAAAAAATCATATTAATTATTAGTTTTCGCTAGAATTAAAAAATTTATATTTAAACACATTAGAAACTTGCATAGGTATTGAACCTAATATAATTTTGAGTTTAAATTATATTCTTTTTTTGAAACCTAATTTATTCGGTATTGCAAGTATTATATATTATTATTTATACATAACTAGACAATGTCTATATATTCATGTGTGCGTGCATATCAGATATTGAGATTGTATATGGAACTTAATGGCTTTTAATTTTGCTTATATTTTTTCCTATTTACTATTTGCAGGATCAAACTTTGTATATATATATATATATGTATCATATTTTTTTTTTAAAAAAAAAAAATCTATGCAATTAATTATTCGAAGCAAGTGAGAGCCACTCGTTCCGTTAGGTACAAGGCAGGAAGAAGGGGTTTTCATTTACGTATATGGACCGACATTGAATTGGAAGCCCCGTGTCTCATTACACTTGCCGTGAAATCTACATGCTTAATCTCGCCAAGAACAATTAAAGTCTCCATTTGGTCTTCTTGTTAATGCGGTTTATGATTCCGATTCTTTGAAAACGTCGTGTAATTGCTAAAAAAAGTGTATTTTTTTTATAACAATTATAAAATATAAACTAAAATAATTTTTTTACACAAAAAGTATGAAATATAAACTAAAATAATATCATAGACAACATAATAATTCATAATCTTATAAAAAAAAACATAATAATTCATAACAATGTTTTTTTTTTTAAGAACCTTACTGGCTCTCGAGGCATCACCGTACCAAATGCAATGAATAACAAAAGTACGATTATGATTGGCTCTCAAGGCATCAGAAAAAAGCTGCTTAGCAAAAAAAGATTAATTATTATTGAGAGAATTTTTAAAAAATATATCATAAAGAAAGAAGGTTGATTGTTCATTGTCTGCCACGTGGACCGAATCACCGGCGTGTTTCTCGTACGTTCGCCGTCGCTGGCGGACGGATTATAAACATTTTTTTAACAAGGGGGAGGGGGAGAGTGATGACGTGGCACAGATAGAAGAACAGACCGTGTCTGAATGAGCAGCCGTCCCAGCACGTGATCCACCTGGCCCCTCGCACGTGCTAGAGCGAGAAACAAAAGGAAAGAGAATGTCTCTTTTATATAAGAATTTAATTTATCTAATTTACATAGCATATAATCGATTTTCCATTGGATATATGCAAACGTATCTTAATTTAATCCAATATATCATATTATATTATATATAGATTAACACGTCAATATATTTAGAAAAATATCTACTCTACGATATTAAAGATGAATCCGCATAAATAAATCAAAATTAATTAAATTATGTAAAAATCAAATGATTTAGGATAACATAACATACTCCAACGACTTAACAAATATATCAAATAAAATCATTCATTCAGTATCCCAATTCAGAATTTTAAATTTTTTCTCATTTATATATTTTAAGTTTGGATATAACCACAAAATTTATCTTATGATATTATATTTATTTAACCATTTTCAATAATACAATTATTTTCAAAATTTTTATTTCACTGTTTTTTTGTTTGAACCATTGTTTTTGTACCGCAGGGTTTGTGGGTGAATACATCTTCATTACGCTTTTTAGCGATTAAAGGCAATTAATATTGAATGATTGATAAGTTATCGTTGATACCCTTTGCGGATTATTGCGATTAGAAATGAATGATTGGTTATACCTTGTAGTTTGATGTAAATTATAAAAAAAACAGATATGATTTCAATATATTTTAAAAATAGTTCTAATTAATTTTTATTATTCTTTGATAATAAAAAATTATTTACTAAATTTATAAAATAATTAAATATAAATTTTATCAAAAATTTATTTTGAATTAAATATCATATCATTTTAGATGAATGTAAACCTTCACGAAGAAAGGAATGTGATTCCGAGATTAGAATGTCAAAATGAGCCTGTATATGGTCTCCTCCCAATTTGATAAGATGCAGAAGTGAAATATTATATTCCATCTATTCTCTATCCTTGTAAAAATCATTCAAATCTAAGATCATATTCTTATATTCTCATGGATTTCAAAAGCAATACTAAGATATATATGAACAGATCCGATCGGACCAAATTCCATGCCAAAGTTGCCCATTTGAATAAAAGCTGTGGTCGTAGATCCTCTCTTAATACGCATTTTTTTTTTGTTATCGAAATTTATTGTAAACTTTGTACTAAACTGTAAACAAAAATGAAAAGAAAAAAGGGTATTGGATTTTCTCGCTATAATTAAGAAAATGATACAAGGCAAAACGATCGATGATTTACTTGTAACGATTTAATATGATATTAATTTTTTTTTTCGTAACATTTGTTAAAAAAAAATTGATGGGATATTCAATGAAAAATAAATTAATGGGATATTTTTGGCTGTGTAGTCAAGAATTCGGGGACCCAAAAAAAATCATAAACCAAGTTCTTTTTTTTTCTTCTTTTTTTGTGGAAAAAAAACCCAAGATTTTTTTTTTTGTGTGTAAGTTTGTAATGGATCATTTTATCCCTTTTTTTTTATTTTGAGAATTAACAAAAAATATATTATTGGGCCTATATAATAACGCTCCCCTCGTAGCCTATCTTTTACTCTTCCTCTTCCTCTTCTTCTTCTTCGAACACAAAGATAGACCGACAAAATCTTCTGTTTCAGACACACCCAGAGAGAGAGAGAGAGAGAGAGAGAAGAAGCCAACAATGGCAGATTCAAAGCTTGTCTTCTTCGCCTCTGCATTGTTACTAACAATGCTCTTCATTCGCGTGAACTCATCAAGGTACGTACTTTGATTTCAGATTTTAAATTATAATATATGTATATATATATATATATCTTAAAATCATTATAAAACAATATAAATTTTCTCTAGGAATTGGAATTGCGTTATAATGAATAATTCTGTTTAATTTCGTGGTTTTCAGGTCTAATGAAACATGGCATGAACACGCAGTCGAGCATCCAGAGGAAGTAGCTGCGATGGTTGACATGTGAGTAATGAGCATGGAATAATATTTAACATTTTTATATTAATCACTTCTTGTTATATATTATATATATATAAAAAGTTTTATTCGCTCGCCGGGAATTATGCATAAAATTAGAAAATATACATTATCTTACTGTTTTTTGTTTTAAATAACTATATAGTTGTTTTATTTCGGATAAATTTTGGTGAATTTTATTTATAGCAAAAACAGGCTCACGTGACGCTCCTGTAAGAATTCGACACGTCACTTCAAGTCTTGGTCAAATAGTCAATCCATACCCTAAATATCATAATATTTTTTTTTGTTAGTCGCTAAATATCATTATATTAGTTATCCACATTTATATTTAATCATATATATATATATGTGCAGCATTTTATAGTATTTTCGAAACCATATGAAATTACATTAGATTTCATATGAACCATATATAAATATCATATTATATATAGTCAAAAGCTGGATCGGTCCATCTGGCTTCTTCGGTAAATCACATCACATTATTGATACGAATAATTTTTATAAACTTGGATAAATTTTATTTTTTGATAATAGAAATTGGAATCTATGGAATTATTGGAGGTATTGATCCATACCATGTGTAATGTTTTTTTCCTCTTTATATATATATATATATATATATAAGGAGAACATGTGTAATGTCCCGATACCTAATGTTTTAAATCGTGGTTTGCCAGCCCGTGCACATGCCCCATGCAGTAGACTCCGTTGGACTCCTTTTTCATATAATATTATACTATCATTTAAATATTAAAGTCGATCCATATTAAAATTTTCATACAAAAATAACGTCTATATGTATAGAATTATAGATAATTCAAGAATATTTTTCCTGGTTACTAAATTATACTCTTGGATTGAAACATATTTTTAAAAACAAATGGTTTTCTTTTTCCAGAAAATATATGTGTTTATATATATATATATATTGAATATTTATGTCAAGTATATAATAATGGATACTATTTTTCTCTATTGCATAATAGTATGTTTGTGGAGACCCAGTCGTCATCACATTCAATGTATTTTGTCAGTAGGTACATATTCATCCGAAATTAACCCTTTAACTTCGCAGTTATTACGATTCTATCCAGAAAAATATTTTCTCGGACATTTTCCCGAGAAAATCAAAATCGAAACCGCGAAATTTAAAATCCTGAACGTTACCGGTATAATCCATCAATCGAGAGTCGAGACTACTTACCTATCAATTTGTCCCAAATTTGCATACCCAAAGGAATTCAATTGATTTCTCAACTAATTGTTTTTAAAAAAAAATTCCAAAATTTTCCGGTTCTGATTCGATTTTACCATTGCAGGAGCATCCGCAACAGCACCGAGCGGAGGAGATTAGGGTACTTTTCCTGCACGACCGGGAACCCGATCGACGATTGCTGGAGGTGTGACCGGAAATGGCAACTGCGGAGAAAGCGTCTCGCCGACTGCGCCATCGGGTTCGGCCGCAACGCCCTCGGAGGC